TCCCGGTCACCTTGTGATGGTGTCCCGGTTATGTTGTGATGGTGTCCCAATCGTGTTGTGACGGTGTCTCGGTCATGTTTTGATGGTGCCCTGGTCATTTTGTGATGGTGTTCCGGTTATGTGATTATGGTGTCCAAGGAAGAGATGGTCGATGTGTTGAAAACAGCAGCTGTTTCCAGATTGTTCTTTTTGTCCCGGTTTGTATCTTGCTATTGGGGTCTCCAGCTGGGCTAATTGTGCATTTCTTGGTCCTTCGCTTAGGTAAGGCAGTTGGAGAGTTCTTCAAGGCGAAGCAGGTCTACACGCATGGCAAGGGTCACTGGGCCAGAGACAGCACTGTTTCTCAGATGATTCGCTCCGCTTGTCAGTTTGTGTGGCAACTTTGCTGTGCTTTGTTGATCTTACATATATATATATATATAGATATATTTTTTTTTATTTTTTCCTTGATCCAAAGAAGAACCCTCAGCTGCACATTTTTCTGTGTCCATCTCGCTTGCTTGGCGCTTTTGAGGCCATGACGTGCCACGAGATGCAGCTTTCATTAAGACCTTCCAGGGATTCGTCTCTGGGCAGCTCTGAGGAGCTTCTTCCACCGCTCAAAAGGTGGCTTATTCTTAGCTTATCGGGGTTGCGCTGCATAGGTGTGCCCTATGTTATATGTTTTAGGATAACGTTTTACCGACGCCCCGTCCCGAGCGATCGGCACCGGCGGGGGGTTTCGAAGAGCGAAACGGCACATGGTGCAAAAACAAGAGCGAAACGAGCGACTTCGTGTCACGTGACGTGACGTGTGTCAACACACATGATTTCGCTCACATTCATGCACACAGCCTTTGGAGTTTCTGAGCCCTTGTGAATCCGCAGCTTCCATCCCAAAAGCTCAAGTTGTGAATGTTTGGTGCCCTGGACAATCATGTGCCTTGGCCAAGAATGCAATAGGCAGGAGTGGTGTGAAAGGATCATAGTGTTTAGGTGACTGAAAGGTGTACTTTGACTTTTGTATCATTGCAAGTTTGATGGCATGTGAAGCACAGAGAGGTTTGACTTGCACAAGGTTTGTTCATACTCAGATGATGAAGTTGGGATCTTAGACCCTTAGAGTTCACGCAACACTGCAGTATGGTCGCTGACGGACATAGACACAAGCAATGAAACAAGAACTTGAAACAGAGTTTCTGCTAGGTCTTCGGTACAGTATATCACCAAGTCGCGCTGGCGTCTTTGTTTGGTCACCCAGATGAGACCGGCGCCTGATCTAAAGACCTTAACCACAATCCTGACCACACTTGCCCACAGGTCACGTCATCTGAAGAGGATTTGCAAAGATCCATGTATATATCGCTGTTCGGTCTCATCTTGTTTCGTCTGCACAAGTGAACCCTTGGGCTTTTCCCTTCTTCTTTTCTTTGCCTGAAAACCTGCTTGTTTGGAGCTGGAGCTGTCCGGTAAAGCCGCCATCCTTCTCAGTTCGCGGACCCTTGTCAGCATGCTTGAAGATCACGGATCCATGCCGGCCACGGCCTCAGACGCCCAGGTCCCGGGCGGGTCGTGCCCGTACCGGGACCTCGTCGGAGAAACCTCCTCGTCCGGGTGAAGCAACGAAAGACGTTCAGGATGCCACCGTCCATCAAGGTCTTGAGCTCGGAAGCCACACCTAAGACAGCAAAGTGTGCCAAGTCAGCGTGGTCTTTCTCAGTACACCCAAGACAACTCTGTGATGGTTGACGAAACTGATCACTACTGGTTGGACGTGCAACCCAGGCGGCCTCCACCCTGGCGGTTCGCATGCAACCGGAGGGCGCGCCTCCGATGAGAAGCCTTCCTCAAGCGACGCCTGGCGCGGTGGAACCTGTCGTGCAGATTCCCTATCAAGAGTCTCTTGGCGGAAGAAAAAGCCGATTCGGCGGAAGAAGAGTCTCTTGGCTGAAGACCCACCAAACGGCCAACGGCCGGTTCCTCCCCAAAAGCGAATGTGACGACATGTTGGAAGTGTCAAGTTCCTCAAATTCTTTGACCCTGGAGGCATGAACCCCACGAACTATCTTTGTTTGCTTTCTGCAAGTAGAGTGCGGTTGTTTCTACCGATGTATTTAGGGTTTCTTGGGGATGGATCTGGACAAAAGGGGAGTAACCAAGGCCCTACTAGAATGGACGCACCAGTCCATTTTGCTCCAAAACCCGTTCATGTTTAGCACAGTTGAATCCAGGATCTGGCCAGAAACAATCTCAATGCTTCGTTTCGCAATGAGGCTGCGTGATCTCACGCCCAGTGCCGTTGAAAAGCTCCACAAAGCCTTCGTTGGTGCTTAGCCTCAGAAGACATTGTATGCCGTTCCTGGCAGTGCAAGTACCGGTAGTAGGTAGAAGTCCTTGTTGAAGCGTTCCTGGCAGTGTGGCAGTGTTCTTGGCTTCACGCTCTGAGCACGCAGAATTGATTTTTCTTTTTTGTCCTTCTGCTAGAAAAGTACAATAGTCTGGAAGCGGCCTCAACACCCTTCCCATTCTCTGCATACCGCATAGGGCACGCCATTGTGAGGTGAGCGTGCTTATGGTGCGGTGGCCATCACAGGGATTCCCAACTACGCCGAACTGAAGCATGACGCCTTCCGTGCAGGTCGTGAGCTGAGACTTTCCATTAGGATCATGAGGACCCACTGTTTCATTTTTTTGGTGTTTGCTGTTGAGTTCGTGGGCCTAATGAATGGATTATTTTTCAACGTCATGATCTTCATGTGCTCATGACATCGCATGACTCCTTCTGCCGATCGCCTTCCAGTTTTGCCTTAGCTCGTCGGTCAGGTGTGGACCTTGCACTTTTGGATGATGAGGGGCGCAAGCGCTCGGCGGCGGTGAACAACACATACCCTGGTTGGAGTGGCACTCCAGGCATTTCTTTTGGTTGTAAGTTGTGAGAGAGGCACCAAAATTGGTGAAGAAGGGAGACCTGCAGGACGTGAAAAGGACATTTCCGTTGTGAGGTTTTACTTTTCCCAGTTGGTTATCTACCAATTCCCAGTTGTTAGGCAGCGAGACACACCCGTGGAGCTCTCAGCAACAAAGGGTCTCCTCTGTTTCTGCTCCACAGCGATTGTTTGCTGTTTGAGGCTTCAGAACAGCTTCCTTTTCAACGTGAAGGAAGAGTTGGGTGGACAGATGGCCGCTGGGTCTGACCAGCAAGGAAGAATCATTTTGGAAGAACGTCCCGAGCTGAACGTGACCGATCTCTCAGGATCCGTTCTTTGGCAAGAATATTTTCCCGAGCGAGGACGGGCCTCCGGACCTCCAACGGGTCGATGGTCATTCGATGTCGTTCAGAAGTCTGACATATCAAACATGTGAAAGACGGGATGATGCGAGATGTGGGATCGATTGGAGGACTATCGCAAAACATGGGTCAAATTTGTGGATGTGATGTACGCGAATGCCTTGCAAGTTCTTCGTGGAAGCTTGGAGTGACGTGTTCCCAAAGACTCCTAGAGCTCCAAGGTGACGCCGGGCTTTTGTTTCTTCACACCTATAGCCCTGGGTTTATGGCACCCGATTTTGGAACCCAATGTCTTGGTTGTTTTCATCTTCGCTAAGGATGCGACAAGGTTTTGGACACGGAGATTCAGCAATGGCAGGCACAGCGGAGCCTGGAACGTCTTGGCAGCTTTGCAAATTAAACCTGTGGGCGTGGATTCCAAAATGAAAAAACATGTCCATTCCGCTTCAGACTGCCAAAAGGCAAGTTTGTTGAGGTAGTCTGAACGGATCTATACATTGCCGACAGGTGGAAAGGTCATACCCAGAGTTTGGGCGTTCCTTTTCATCTCTCCCTCTCTCTCTCTCTCTGTCTGTCCGTCCGTCCGTCCGTCCGTCCGTCCGTCCGTCGGTCGGTCGGTCGGTCGGTCGGTCGGTCTGTGTCTGTCTGTGTCTGTCTCTGTGTCTGTCTCTGTGTCTGTCTCTGTGTCTGTCTCTGTGTCTGTCTCTGTGTCTGTCTCTGTGTCTGTCTCTGTGTCTGTCTCTGTGTCTGTCTCTGTGTCTGTCTCTGTGTCTGTGTCTGTGTCTGTGTCTGTGTCTGTGTCTCTGTCTCTGT